TGCCGTCTTGGGGCCGCTCTTGGAGCGCTCTTGGGCGCTCTTGGGGCCGTTTGGGGGCCCTCTTGGACCCGTGTGCCGAAATGGCCGGGGCGGCCGCATGCGGACCCTGCCACTGGGGCCTTCGGTGCAGCTCCCTAAAAGGCCACGAACCGTGTGAGGGGTGTGCCGAAATGGTCGGGGCGCCCGCATGTGGACCCTGCCACTGGGGCCTTCGGTGGACTTCCCTAGGGGCCACGAACCGTGTGAGGGGTGTGCCGAAATGGCCGGGGCGGCCGCATGTGGACCTTGCCACTTGGGCCTTCGGTGGAGCTCCCTAGGGGCCACGAACCGTGTGAGGGGTGTGCCGAAATGGTCGGGGCGGCCGCATGTGGACCCTGCCACTGGGGCCTTCGGTGGAGCTCCCTAGAAGGCCACGAACCGTGTGAGGGGTGTGCCGAAATGGTCGGGGCGGCCGCATGTGGACCCTGCCACTGGGGCCTTCGGTGGAGCTCCCTAGAAGGCCACGAACCGTGTGAGGGGTGTGCCGAAGTGGTCGGGGCGGCTGCATGTGGACCCTGCCACTGGGGCCTTCGGTGGAGCTCCCTAATGGACGGTGATGATGATGACGACGACGACGATGATGATGATGCCAAAGACGAAGAAAGGTTTGGACAATGATGAGGACAACGGTGATGATGATGATGATGATGATGATGATGATGATGATGATGATGATGATGATGGTGATGGTGATGGTGATGGTGATGGTGATGGTGATGGTGATGGTGATGATGACGATGCTGTTGATGAAGATGATGATGATGATGATGATGATGATGATGATGATGATTATGATGATGATGACGATGCTGTTGTTGTTGATGATGATGATGATAATGATGGTGATGATGGTGGCGATGATGGTGATGGTGATTATGGCAGTAATGGCGATGACGACGAGGGTAATGACGACGGTGGTGATGGGAAGTGGGACGGGGGGGATGGGAACGAAGCGCGAGGGGGAGGAGAAGAGGAGCAGGAGGAGGAGGGGGAGGAGGAAGGATGGAGCGCGGCGCTGCGAACTCAAAACGAAGACCCAACACACAGGAGGGTTGGGAAAAAAAATAAAACTACAAAAAAAACGATTGTCCGCGGTCCACGTTGGCGAGAATTTCGAATCTAGCTGGCGGGCCCACGGAGTTCTCCTCTTTCACAGGGGAGGGTCCCTGGGCAGTGAGAATCAATGCTTGCAAGGGCTTCTGACGAGGGGAATCGGGACGGGAGAGTGGATTGTGACGTCGCTGACGCACCCCAAGTTCACCTTGATCCTCCTTCTCCTCATCACCCCTCTGCGGCAACCTCCCCAAACTTACAAAACCTCTGTGTGCTTGGGTACTTCCCAGGAAAAAAAAGAATAACAAAAAAAACGCATTGTAACAAAAACGCACTGTACTTCCCACCAACAAAAGCTCAATGATAACGCCGAAGACGTCGAAACCCATAGAGAACATGAACAGTTGAGGATCTCTTCGAGCCGCCGAGAAAATGCCCCCTCATCCTCATCCTCCTGTTCCTCTTCATCCTCATCCTCTTGCCTGCTCTCAAGTCTCTGTCTTCCCTCCCTCCTACTGCTACTCCTTCTACTCATCCTCATCTCATCCTCATCTCATCCTCATCCTCCTGCTCCGCCCCCCGACCTTCGCGGCCTTCCCCTCCTACTCCTCCTCCTCCTCCTCCTCCTCCTCGGCCTTCCTCCTCGGCCTTCCTCCTCGTCCTCCTCCCCCCCCATCCCCCTCACCCTCCAGGCCGCGCTTCGACGGCCGACCCGGCGACGCACCAGAGCCCCTGCCTGGGCCGCCGCCTTCGTCAGGCCGGCGCGGGCTCCTGACGTGCGCGGGAAAGCGTGCCCCGGCGGGGGGCCCGTGGCCTCGACCCCAGCAGGGCCCCGCCCGCCCGCGCCGGATTGGCAAGAGCAGGACAGGGAAGCTTGCTCGCAGAGTCCGGCCTCGGGGGGCTGCTTCTCGGGCCCCAGGGGGCGTCATAACAGAACGACCCGCTGGGTCCCATGTCCCTGCGAGTGGTCCGACTCGACGCCGATTCGGCCAGCGAAGGTCGCATTGCGCTGTTGTGCATCCTGGCGCTCCGTGCTTCGATGCAGCCCGATCCGACGCACATTCCGATTCTAACCGATTTCTCGATTCGACGTTGACCCATCTGGCCCAAGGCGAGAATCCGGATCTGGGGAAGGAGTCGTGATTTTGGGGGGCCCGCGTTGTCGGGCAGGCCTGGGGCGAGCGCGTTCTGGGGCGCTCTGGAACGGCCGCGGCGCCCGATTGATATTCCAGACCCGCCAGCTCTCAAAATGTCCCCCGAGGGCTTCTTGGAAGCCCCCCATGCCTTCTTGGCAGCCCCTCGCCAACCAGCACGAGGGACCCTCCAGCCTCGGCCAGGCCCATCGAGCCCGAGCGCGCCAGGCGGAGCCGCCGCGGCCGCGGGGCGGCGGGGCCCCGAGCTGCGGCAGGCCGCCCGGTGCCGCCGTCGCCGCCGCAGTGGTTCCTGCTCCTCACCGCTGCCCTCCTGGTAGACAGCGCCTCCCCGTTGCACCCTCAGACGTGTCAACAGGGCGCTCCGCGCGTTTCTCCTGAGACCGCCTCACCACTTATGATCCAGAAGCTGAAAGCGACACAGCTTCGCGGATGGAGGTGGGCAAACTGAGGCTCTCGGTCTAGAGTTGCGCACGATCGTCTTGAAAAGCTTGCAGCTGCTACACGAGTGGACGGAGTGCCGTTTTCAAATTGAAGTGGCCGCCTCAGCGCCGCGCACATTTGTCTTCAACGTTTGCAGCAGCTGCAAGGATGGTGGGGTGGTCATCAACAATTAGCTTCCGCGCCGCACACATTCGTTGTAAAAGCTTGCACCCGCTACCAGCACAGAGAGCGACTCCTGCTCAAAACAAGGTTCTCGCCACAGCGCCGCGCACATTCCTTTGAAAAGCTGGCAATACGCACAGGGATAGAGGACGGCTCCTTCTCAAATTGGGGCGTTCGCTTGAGACCTCTTGAGATCTAACGACCAGAAGCTCGAACATACGGAACAGCTGGACGGATGAAGGGCGGCTCTTTGTCGTCATGGAATAATTGCTCGAAGCTTCCTCGAGGCGCATGACCATGGGTGTAGACTTGCGCAGCAGTTGCACAGAGGGGCTGCTCCTTTTTTAAAATTCAAGTATCGCTGGACACCGTGTCGGATTGTATGATAATGTATAATACCTTGTCGCATCCCTGATTCCCCATATCCTAAGATGGGGTTATTGTTGATGCTTAGACGCCTCCGATTCCTCAGAATAACCTTCCCCCCTGCTCTTCCTGAGTCACTCACCACACTCAGACCCACTCAGATCATGCACGTCCATCACCCACTCAGATCACCCACCCTGCGACCCAGACTTCGCTCTTTGGGTGGTCCTCTGCTCACCGCGACGTAGCAGGCGTAGAATTTGGGCACCCGAAGGGGAAGCCGCTAGTGGGTGTTACACGGACTCATTCGTGCCCAGTTTGCCAGGAATTTTCAGGCGGTTGGCCTGTTTCGGCGCCTTCGACTTTTCGCTTGCCCCACATGTTTAGTGGGGTTATGGTTTTCTTCCCTGCCTCGTCGCACCCGCGGCCCTCACACACCACCTTCCTCCTCCCTCTCCTTTCACACAGCACATCACAGCGCAGCACAGCGCAGCTTAGCTTAGCACAGAACAGCTCAGCACAGCACTGCACAGCACAGCCAGCTTAGCTCAGCACAGCTCAGCGCAGCACTGCAGAGCACAGCACAGCACACAGCACATTGACACACAGCACGTACACAGCACAGCACAGCTCATCTCAGCACAGCATTGCACAGCACAGCACAGCACAGCACACCTCAGCACTACACAGCACAGCACAACACAGCACCTCTGGACACCATAGGGGGTGCGCAGCAAGTGGTCTCTGAGCGCGGCCGCTATCCACGACACTGTCGAATAACCTAGCAGGCGTGGCACTTTCTGGACACCATAGGGGGTGCGCAGGGGGTGGGTGGTCTCGCAGCGCGGCCGCTATCCACGACACTGTCGCAAAGTCTAGCAGTCGTGGCACTTTCTGGACACCATAGGGGGTGCGCAGGGGGTGGTCTCTCAGCGCGGCCGCTATCCACGACACTGTCGCAAAGCCTAGCAGGCGTGGCACTTTCTGGACACCATAGGGGGTGCGCAGGGGGTGGTCTCTCAGCGCGGCCGCTATCCACGACACTGTCGCAAAGCCTAGCAGGCGTGGCACTTTCTGGACACCATAGGGGGTGCGCAGGGGGTGGTCTCTCAGCTCACGACACTGTCGCAAAGCCTAGCAGGCGTAGGGACACCATAGGGGGTGCGCAGGGGGTGGTTCTCAGCTATCCACGACACTGTCGCAAAGCCTAGCAGGCGTGGCACTTTCTGGACACCATAGGGGGTGCGCAGGGGGTGGTCTCTCAGCGCGGCCGCTATCCACGACACTGTCGCAAAGCCTAGCAGGCGTGGCACTTTCTGGACACCATAGGGGTGCGCAGGGGTGGTCTCTCAGCGCGGCCGCTATCCACGACACTGTCGCAAAGCCTAAGGTCGTAGGGCGTGGCACTTCCGGACACCATAGGGGGTGCGCAGGGGGTGGTCTCTCAGCGCGGCCGCTATCCACGACACTGTCGCAAAGCCTAGCAGGCGTGGCACTTTCTGGACACCATAGGGGGTGCGCAGGGGGTGGTCTCTCAGCGCGGCCGCTATCCACGACACTGTCGCAAAGCCTAGCAGGCGTGGCACTTTCTGGGCACCACAGGGTGTGCGCAGGGGGTGGTCTCTCAGCGTGGCCGCTATCCACGACACTGTCGCAAAGCCTAGCAGGCGTGGCACCTTCTGGACACCATAGGGGGTGCGCAGGGGGTGGTCTCTCAGCGCGGCCGCTATCCACGACACTATCGCAAAGCCTAGCAGGCGTGACTCTTTCTGGACACCATAGGGGGTGCGAAGGGGGTGGTCTCGCAGCGCGGCCGCTATCCACGACACTGTCGCAAAGCCTAGCAGGCGTGGCACGTTCTCGACTCCATAGGGGGTGCGCAGGGGATGGTCTCTCAGGGCGGCCGCTATCCACGACACTGTCGCAAAACCCAGCAGGCGTAGTATTTTCTGGACACCATAGGGGGTGCGCAAGGGGGTGGTCTCTCAGCGCGGCCGCTATCCACGACACTGTCGCAAAGCCTAGCAGGCGTGGCACTTTGGACACCATGGGGGGTGCGCAGGGGGTGGTCTCTTAGCGTGGCCGCTATCCACGACATTGTCGCAAAGCCTAGCAGGCGTGGCAGTTTCTGGACACCATAGGGGGGGCGCAGGGGGTGGTCTCTCAGCGCGACCGCTATCCACGACAGTGTCGCACAGCTTAGCAGGCGTAGCACTTTCTGGACACCACAAAGGGGTGCGCAGGGGTGGTCTCCCAGTCCACGACACTGCCGGAAAGCCTGGCAGGCGTGGCATTTTCTGGACGCCACAGGGGGTGCGTTGGGGATGCGGTCGATATCCGTTTCGGGCTCGCAACGTGTGGCAGGCGTGGCACTTCCTGGACGCCACAGGGGGTGCGTTGGGGGTGCGGTCGCTACCCGTTTCGGCCACACAAAGCGTGGCAGGCGTGACTTTTCCTCCTCGACGCCGCAGGGGGTGCGCTGGGGGTACGGTCGCTATCCGTTTCGGGCTCGCAACGCGTGGCAGGCGCGGTACTTTCTCGATGCCACAGGGGGTGCGCCGGGGGTGCGGTCGCTATCCGTTTCGGCCTCGCAAGGCGTTGGCAGGCGTGGCAGTTTCTCGACGCCACACGGGGTGCGCTGGGGGTGCGGTCGCTATCCGTTCCGGACTCGCAAAGCGTTGCAGGCGTGGCAACGTCTCGACGCCGAAGGGAGTGCGCTGGGGGTGCGGTCGCTATCCGTTTCGGGCTCGCCAAGGGTGGCACGCGTGACACTTCCTCGACGCCACGAGGGGGTACGCTGGGGGTACGGTCGCTATCCGTTCCGGGCCCGCAAGGCGTGGCAGGTGCAGTACTTTCTCGATGCCACAGGGGGTGCGCAAGGGGTGCGGTCGCTTTCCGTCTCGACCTCGCAAAGCGTGGCAGGCGTGGCACTTTCTCGACGCCACAAAGGGGTGCCTTGGGGGTGCGGTCGTTATTTGTTCCGGGCTCGCAAAGTGTGGCTGGCGCGGCGCTTCTCCTCTCCACCTCTCCTCTTGAGTGGCGTCACCAACGGTATCGGCGGGGCAACGGCCACCAACATCATTCTCACATGCTTCACTTCAGCTATCATCACTCCAACCACAATATAAGTATGTGGGGTTCCTCGGTAGCGTAATTTGGTGGTCCATTGCTTCCCACGATATAGCAGGCGTGGCATGTGCGCACCCAAAGGGGAAAGCCGGGGGGGGTGTTGCACGGGCCCGTTCGCACCCGTATGGCGGGGATGTCTCAGGCGGCTGGCATGTTTCAGCGCCCCAGACTTTTCTCCGTTGGTGGTCCACTGCCCACCGCGACATAGGAGGCGTGGCACTTGGGCACCCGAAGGGGAAGCCGCCAGGTGGCGTTGCACGGGCCCGTTCGCGCCCAGATTATAAGGATGTTTCAGGCGGTTTGCCTGTTTCGACCCGTCAGACTTCTCTCCTTTGATGGTATGCTGTTCACCGCGATCTTGCAGGCGTGGCACTTGTGCACCCCAACGGGGGGCCGCCAGGGGTGGGGACACTTCAATGTTCGCGTCCACGTTGTGGGGATGTATCAAGCGGTGTGCTTGTTTCGACCCCCGGGTTTGTCTTTAGATTGTTGTCATTTTGACGCCGCCGGACCTCACTCACTCATTCACTCACCTCGTCCACTTCCCCACTCACATGCATCCACACTCAGACTGATTCACCAGCACCTAATCCTCATGCAAACTCACCCACCACACTCAGACTCAAACGTAGTCAGACTCACTCATACTCAGACCCATTCATACTTAGAGTCGCTCACCTTCAGACTCGCTGACATTTATGCTCACCCACACTCGGATTAGCTCACACTCATATTTACTCGCACTCAGACGCGCTCACACTCAGACTCACACTCGGACTCACTCACAATCATAATCAACCACCCTCAAATTCATGCATACTCAAGATTCACCCGTACTCAGATTCACTCAGACTCATATTCATTATACGCATATTCAGGTTCACATTCAGATTCACTCACATTCAGATTCTCTTGTATTCAGATTCACTCAAACTCAGATCTACTTATAAACGGACTCACTCGTATTCAGTCTCTCGCAAGTTTCGATTCACTCACACCTAAACTCAGGCATACCGGCTCACATTTAGACTCACTCACACTGACATCACATCCACATTTAGATTAATTCAGTATGTTCTTTTTTGGTGGTCCACTGCTCCCTCGCTCTTTCATGTGTGCGTCCTCCATCTCTCCTGAAAGATGCCCAGAGGAGGAG